TGCAAGTCCATATTTAAAACTATATATTTGTAATTTGTGAAATACCACTTGAATATATTTTGCTTTCACTTTTGGATCATGAAATTTTTGATTTTTGCTCAAAAACTAAATAAAAACTTTAGGGTCGGGTGCAAAAAAATAGGGTAGGTCGGGTAGCAGGAAACAAGGCTTTTTTTATTTTTGGCCTTACATTTTTAAAAAAGGTAAAATCAGGTGACAAATTTATGCATTCTTTGTTCAGACTATATAGCGGTAAATCTCTAAGAGTTTCAAACTAGACACTTTACCCAGCGTCTGTCCATTATCCGTCTTTCACACCTTGTATCTCAAGAAATGTCAGATATATGAACTTTATATTTTGTACTTTATGAGCTCATAATACTGTTCTTTGAATCTGTATGAAACTCAGTAACCACACAAACTGAAATTTAAATATTATGAAAATACACTGGGATCTGGATCCCCCAAAGGATATAAGCCCTATATTTAAATTCCACATACTTATAAATAAAGTTTGTGGAAAGCTTCTGCAATCAAAATACAATACAGTTAGGAAGTTAAAAGGTTTTCATTTTGCGTTTTAGCTTCATTTGCATTGAACAGTTAAGAAGTAGCAAAGACATTGTGGGAAACCCACAGATGATATCATCTTCACTTTGTGTTTAATTAGCTGTTTTTAGTCAACCAATCAGAAAGTTGGAACTCTTCAATTTTGAAAGCCCCGTGGGTGGGGATCCTGGTTAGAATAGGTCCTCAATCAATACCTCTTGCTTGTTGTAAAAGGCCACTAAAGGCGGCGGTGCCTTCGGATGAGACCGTATAAACCGAGACCCCGTGTCACAGCAGGTGTGGCACGATAAAGATCCCTCCCTGCTCAAAGGCCGTAAGTGCCGAGCATAGGCCTAAATTTGCAGGCCTTCACTGGCAATGGTGACGTCTCCATATTAGTGAAATATTCTGGCGAGGAACGTTCAACAGTAAACAATCAATCAATCAATTTTGAAAAATATGTTGATTACTTTGCTATTTATGGTAAATATTTCGACGCTCGTTTAAAGTGAGAAATTGATTTAAAACAATGAAAGTCATTTTGTACACTGGTCACTGACATGAATTTACGTCAGTTATTATATATAGGAGTACCTCTTAACTGCAAAATGAGCCGATGAGTGGATTTACCAGCTGTATTAACTATGGAATGAGTTTTTCATGTTTCTGGCAGTGCCGAACATGTATATGCAATATGAACTGTGATTTGTTGTTTGGTATTGCAACATGTGAATGATCCATGCACATATATTTACATACTATTAATTATCGGCGAGTTTGCCCATGGGTGATAAGTAAAGATGAGATCACCAGGGGGTTTCCGAGGATGTAGCAAAGGTTGCAATGACAGACCAGTAACAATTGCAAAGGAAGGGGGTATAAAATATTTAAAAGAATTGAATTATTACAATGAAGGTATATAGGAAGCTAAATCAGTTTTCAATGCATACTACCAAATCCTTAATTCCTTGACGAGCTTTAAAAATGCACCAGACATTATTATTTTGGGGGGACCACCAGTAAAAAAATGTTTTCTGTTGTACACCATATTTGGTAAAAATATTTGGGGGCACAGCTACCAGGTGCATAACCGTAGTTTTTAAGGCCATTGTTTTCTGATCACCCATTCTCCGACGACTATCTGCCTTTCTGTCTGTCTGTAAATTTTTCATGTTTTTGATTTCTTTCCAAGAACCATCAAACCAATTTTAACTAAGGTACAATGCACCAAACTAAGTACAATGCATCTTTAGGTGATGGGTGTTTTCAACTATTAAGATAAAGGCCAAGCCCCATTACAACGGGGGTGGGGGGAGGGGAGATAATAAAAAAATGACAGAATATGGTGGGGCCATTAAAAAACTTTTCAAAAACCACTGGACCGTGAAAGCTTAAACTGATGTGGAAGCATCATGGGATAGTGCAGATTCTAAAATCTTCAAATTTAACCCCCTGTGATCACAATAGGTATTACAAGGGGGGAAATCTGATCAGCATGGCCAAAGTTACTCAGGTGAGCGTTGTGGCCCCTGGGCCTTTTGATTGAGAGATGAAGCCTCATGATTGTAACAATGTGTGAAAACAAATTTCAATAATGTGCTAAAATGCGTCACACCTGTTTTCACAAATTTGTCACAAAAAAAATAATTATAGTTTAAAGCTTAATGAAAAAAAATATCCATTTTCAGTATTGCTGTACATAACTATATCCTTTTATTGTTTTATAAATGCCAAAGAGAAAGAAAATTAATGGCAGAGCAAATCGCCAGAAGGACAAATTAAGAAAGAGACAAGAAAGAGCGCATTCATCTAACTCGTTTCCTGAAATACCACCAGATGAGCAGTCATTAGAGTCTACCTACCCTTGTGTGGTAGTTGATGGAGCTACTTCAGCTTCTCCCATTAACTTTCTGGGGCAAGGTTTTATAGGGTTACCGCCTTTTGAGGGAAAACCCTTGGCCAGGGTGCAGGCCTCACCTCGAGTGAAAATGCACTCAAATGCCCCGAGGTTGACATCTCCTCGGGGAAGTCGTCTGAATGCCCAAAACGGGGCATTGGCACCGTCCCCTGACTCCCCAGCGTGGGTTTGTACTCCAGCGAGGGTACCTGAGCATGATGATGGCTTTAAGCCTAGCTCAGCAGGTCAGACGCAGCTGGATACCTCTAGGATGGAGGAGACCAGCAGTACACTAAAAAAAGATGTGGGCTATAAAGACAGTACAAAGAAATCTGAAAAGACAGTAAATGAAATGTTGAACAGAAATGTTATGAAGCAAAACACTGTATTAGATAAAAAAGAGCAAAACAATCAGAAACAAGAGATGCAAGAAAAAAACAAACAGAATATTAGAAATCAGAAAGAACAAGATATGTCAGCAAAAAATCAGGAATATAAAAATCTTGAACAAATAAGTGAAAATCAGAAAACAAATATTAGAACTCATACATATTTGGAAAAAGATGATAAAAAGCAAAAAAGTAGGAGTATAGGAAAAGAAGCATGCATCATTGACATAAATGACAATGGACAAAAAGAAAGCAAGAAGCAAAAGCAGAATGACTCTGTGTTGAAAACTAAAAGTAAGAAAACTAAAAGTTTAAGTGAAACATGCCAACTGCAGTCAGTCAGTGTTCAAGGTTCATTTCACCAAGGAGACGTCATGTTTGGTGAAAATGCAGGAACACAGTGTGTTGCAAATTGTTTATCTGCTATTGCGTATCATAGGATTAGAAATGTACAGTACTGGAAAACAGCAGATATGAACAAGGTTCTTGCAACTGGAGATGAAATGTATACATTTTTGCAGGGTAGCTCTGCAATTGGAGACAGATATTTGCTTGTTACTGAGTTGCCCCAATATTTTGAGTGCTTTGATGCTCTGCTTAGATTTAAACCAAATGAGTCCTTTGCAAGCATAATAAATTTATCAAATAAAGACATATGTTTTGATGAATTTAATGCTTATACTCTTGAAGATGCTCTACAGTTATCACTTGCAGACACAGATGGATGTTTTGTTTGCTTTGGAGGAAATGCATTTTTGATTGGAAAGTATGAGGATGGGTTCTTTACATTTGACTCACACTCCAGGTCTTTACAGGGAATGATGAGCTCTAATGGTAAAAGCACAAGAATACTGTATGAAACAGTCCAAGAAGTTCATGGTCATATTTTGTCATTGGCATTATCAATGGGTTGTTCAGATACTCTTGACTGTGAAATAACAGGTGTGCATTGTTCAGTAGAACAGTTTATGCATATGAACAATCCAGATTACACGTCAAAACAAACTCTGAATGTTGTTGCAACTGCTAATTATGACGCCAAAAAGCCTGGTATAGAAAAACCACAAGATTTGCTTTCTCCATTATCTGAAAATGAGAGATCAAAGAAAGAATTCAGTTTGTCAGTAGATGTAAAAAAAGAAGTGACACGATCTCTTTGTTATGAACTTGGAATTGACCATGTCATAGAAGGAGACTCTTATTTTACTGACCATGTTGTTGATCAAAATTTTCTTGTCAGGGGTATATCTGAAGATGGAAACTGCTTCTTCAGGGCAATCTCATATTGTATTGCAAATACTGAAGATCATCATGAAAAAATACGAGAGGCAGTGTGTAGGCATTTAGTAAGGAATGAGGCTATTTTCAAAAGCTTTCAAAGAAATACCAGTTGTACTATGAGCTCGTATCTCCAAATGTCAAAAATGTGTCAGAATGGAGTATGGGCCACGGAATTAGAAATCATAGCTGTAGCTCACATGTTGCAAGTTGACATTTACACATTTTCACAAGGTCGATGGTTGCGATATTCCGGGACACAAGTAGAATTGGGATCTGAGAACAGAGGGTCAGTTTATCTACAACACAAAAATGAAACCCATTATAATGTTGTCATTTCTCAACAGGACGGAGAACTCGGCAAACTTTCATCATCTAAGACTGATGAAAATTTTATTAGCAGGTTAATCAGAAGAAATAAATTGTTTGACCACAAAAGCAGAGAACGCCTTGAAAAGAAGAAATTAAAGTACATGAACCATCCAGAAGTTAGAAGTCTGATTTTGAAACATAACAGGAACCGATATCAAGAAAATACAAAATTCAGACACATTGTTAATCGTCGTTCAAAGCAAAAGTACCAAAAGAATGTAAAATGTCAACACATTAAAGAAACACTGAATAAACTCAAAAGGGAGAAATATTTTGGAAATCTGAAGTACCGGACAAAGAAAAAACAACAGAGCATCAAAAGATATAAAACCAATGCTACACACAGAGAAAATTTGAAACAATCAAGTAAAAAAAAATACAAAATGAATAGAGATCACAGAGAATCTCTGAAGGAGTCTAGCATATACAAATATAAAACAAATGCTCTGCATAGAGAACGTGTTTAGCAAAGCAGTGTCAGAAAATATCACTCTAATGCATTGCACAGAAACAAGATGAAGGTCATTAGTGCTGAGAGATACAAAGATCCTGAGTATAAGAAAAAATTTCTAGATTCTTGTAGAATGAAATACAGCGGTGACAAGAAAGTAAGGGAGGAAAGAAAAAACAAGGTGACAGAGAAAAGACGTGAATCTATTCTTAAACTTCAACATGCGTCTGAAGTAATAGAATTGTTCAAGCAGAAATCAAGTTATAGTCCAGAGTATGTTTGTTGTTGTTGTCAGCGCACATTATTCGTAAATCAAGTTCACAATTTTGATTGCAATTTATATGAAAGTAGAGAATGCGCAAAAGAATTAGCTTCAATATCAGTACAGAAGGATTATTTACACGATTGTAATGTAAATTGTCCGCAGAATTGCACAAGATCATCCCTTTGGATTTGTAAAACTTGTCATCGTAAGATACTATCAGGGAAAATTCCTGCGGAGGCAGCAGTTAATAAAATGAAAGTTCAAACTGTACCTGCGGAACTGAATGATCTGAACAGCCTTGAAAAACAGCTTGTTTCTTTACATATTCCATTCATGAAGGTAATGAATCTACCACAGGGAAGACAGAAAAATATTCATGGACCAGTCGTTTGTGTACCTGCAGATATTAATAAAGCAACAAGCTTACCTCGAACAGCAGATGAAACTATGCTATTAAGGGTGAAATTAAAAAGGAAACTCTCCTACAAAGGATATCAAGAATATCAATTTGTGAATCCCCATCAAGTTGTTAAAGCTTTGAACTTTCTAATAGAGAATAATGACTGGTACAAAGATGTAAAATTGAACATGAACTGGGAAAAGACGGTCAGTGATGAATGCATGATAGAAGAGGCCACATCATTGGAAACAACTGAAAATATTGAGACAGAAGTTGAAGATGTGCAATCTCAGACAACTTCAATAGCTTTAGACACATGTTTACAGCCAGTTGATGTAGTTCAAGAAGTTTTGGATCATTATTTTGATGATGTATTTAATATAGCTCCAGGGGAAGGTAAAAATCCAGTAAAAATGCTACAAGAGGAAGGCAATGAAGCAAAAACATTTCCTTGTCTATTTCCTAATGGAAAAAATACCTTGAATGAGAACAGGGATATCAAAATCACACTGAGTAGGTACTTCCACAACAGATCGATGAATGCTGACAACAGATTTGCAATGGATTCAAATTATTTATTCTTCTCTCAGTACATGTCGGAACTTAATCAAGTAATAGAGAAAACACAAATATCTGTAAGGAAATCTTCTTCTAAGACATCCTCGGGACAAAAAGTAACTCCAGAAATGTTGCAAGATGTTGAAAAGTTGGCATCATTATTCAGAAGTGATGAAGCATTGCGATTTATGCAGCCTATACGGGGTACTCCATCATACTGGCAAGCAGCGCAGAAGGATCTTTTTGCAATGTTGCGACAAATAGGTATCCCTACATGGTTCTGTTCTTTCTCTGCTGCAGAGTTTAGATGGAATGCAACAGTTGAAGCTATTTTGCGCCAACAATGTGATGACAGAAGAGCAGAAGATCTTGACTGGACAGAGAAAAGTGATGTATTGAGAAGTAACCCTGTGACAGTTGGTAGAATGTTTGAACACAGATTTCATGTCTTTTTAAGGGATGTCATAATGTCTCCATCAGCACCTATAGGAAAAGTTGTCGATTACTTTCAAAGAGTAGAATTTCAGCAAAGGGGTTCCCCTCATATGCACTGCTTGTTTTGGATAGAAGGAGCACCTAAGCTTGAGCAAGACGGAGAAAAAGCTGTTTGTGATTTTATTGACAAGTATGTCACATGTAAAATACCATCTGAGGATGAAGATGCAGAATTGCGAAAAATTGTTTTAGAAGTACAACAACATAGCAAAAAGCATTCTCAATCTTGCAGGAAAAAAGGCACCGAATGTCGTTTCAATTTTCCAAGGCCGCCGTCAGGAAAAACTTTCATAACCAAGACTAGAGACAATCAAATGGAGACAGAAGACAAAAGTGTTGAAAACGTGTCACTGCACAGAAATGATGCAAAAGAAATCATGCAAAAAGTATGGGAGAAAGTCCAAGATTCATCAACAGATACTACAAACGACGCATTTATGGAACTGGGATTGTCTCAGGAAATATTTGAAGAAGCATACAATACAGTCACTTCAAAGCAAACTATTATATTACAAAGAGAACCTTCTGAAATGTGGACAAATCAGTACAACCCATGTCTTTTAAAATGCTGGGATGCTAATTTAGACATTCAGTATGTCCTAGACCCTTTCAGTTGCATTGTTTATATTATTTCGTATATATCAAAATCAGAACGAGAAATGGGCATGCTGCTGAAACAAACAAAGATTGAAGCCGAGGAAGGCAACTTAAGTGCACGACAAACAATGAAAAAAATACGATCTGCTTACTTGCATCATAGAGAAGTGAGTGCACAAGAAGCAGTCTATCGTGTTTGCAATTTGAAAATGAAAGAATGTTCACGAAAAGTAACATTTATTCCTGTTGGTGAAAATCCTACAAGATTAAGCAAACCTTTGCATCAAATGAAAAGAAACAAAACAAGAGGTGACGATAATGAAGAAGACGATGATGATATTTGGATGACTAATATTGTAGAAAGATATGAAAACCGCCCTCAAAACAAAGAGTTTGATGATATGTGCCTTGCGACATTTTGTGCTGATTACAGGGTACTTGCAAAATCTCAGGTTCCATCAAGCAGTAGAGATGGAGTTTTTGAATTACAGAATGGGAAAGGTTTTATACAAAAGAGAACGAGAACAAATTCTGCTATTGTTAGGTATCCAAGATTCAACAAAGAAAAAATGCCTGAAAAGTTTTACCAATCTATCCTTCAGCTTTTCTTACCATATTGGAAACAAGAATTCCTCAAACCACCTGGATATGACTTGTATCAAACTTTTTATGATACTGGGCATGTGCGAATGAAATATACAAGAACACTACAACGAGTAAGAGACATCGTGGAAGGAAACCGCCAGATCTACTGCAAGAATGAAGAAGTACTAAATCAAGCACAAGAAACATACGATGCTATTGGAGATCCAGAAGATGCATGGTCATTACTTTGCCCCGAGTCAGAAGAAAATAGAAGGACCTGTATGTCCAAAAAATCACAAATTCAGGACGAACAAATGCAAGAAGAGAATGTTCCAGACTTGCAAGATACTGTACATAATGCAGACGTTTTGTATAAAATCCAATCAACTGCTCAATCACGCCAGAATATGTTGCCATTGCTTCGCACTTTAAATACAACCCAAAGAGAAATATTTTATTTTGTTAGGGAATGGAGTCTTAAAAAGTGCAATGGCGAAAATCCAGAGCCTTTTCATGTTTTTATCACTGGAGGAGCTGGAACAGGGAAAAGCCACGTAATAAAAACAATTGAATATGAGGCATGTAGAGTATTCTCACGAATGCAGAAAAATCCAGAAAGTATTCCAATTCTATTAACAGCTCTTACTGGAACTGCTGCCTTTAACATAGGTGGATCGACTATACATCATGCTTTTGCTCTAACAAAGTACCTACCAGTACCCTACGAACCCTTACAAGAACAACGTTTAAGTCCGATAAGATCCAAGTTAGAGGATTTGCAGATTTTAGTCATTGACGAAATTTCAATGGTTTACAAGCGTTTACTTTACTACGTTCATGAGCGTTTAGTACAAATCAAGAAATCCAAACTCCCATTTGGTGGTGTCTCAATAATTGCTGTCGGAGATTTCTTTCAATTACCACCAGTAAAACAGAGGAAAAATGAACGACTGTACAACGAGTGTGCTACATATCCTGTTGATTACTGGAAGGAATTGTTCAAAGTTGTTGAGCTAAATGAAATAATGCGACAACGTGAAGATGCAGACTTTGCCGAGGTGTTAAATGTTTTACGAGTAAGAACAAACAAAGAACACTTTGAATCTCACGTAGAAGAGACGTTAAAAAAATGTGTTAATGAGGGACCAGATTATGCATTACGCGTATATGCTACAAATGAAGAAGTAAATGACCACAATCTTTCAATGCTAAAAACGAATTGTCAAGACCTTGTGGAGATTAAAGCAAAGGACTATCAAAAGGATAAGACATCAGGAAAATTATCTTTACGAGAGAATCCACTATGCAAAAGGAGATCTGAGGGACTTCCATCGTCTATTATATTGGCTGTAAACGCTCGAGTCATGCTCACTCGAAATATTGATGTTGAGGACGGTCTTGTAAATGGTGTTATGGGAGTCGTCTCTGAAATATATTTCTCAAATAAAACATTGCGAAGTGACGTCAGTAAAATTGGGGTTATTTTCGATAACAACAATGTTGGAAAAAAGCGGGGCAAAACACTTGCCTTTGGTCGTGTGTTGGTCAGTATAGAGAGAATTGATGAAGAAATAAATGAGAAACATGCTAAAAATGTGGTAAGACACCAATTTCCCTTACAGTTATCATGGGCTTGTACAGCCCATAAAGTGCAAGGTATGACGACAAGCCAAATTGTAGTGAACTTGGACAGAATGTTTTTTCCTGGACAAGCGTACGTGGCTCTGAGTCGGGTTACTACAAAAACTGGATTGCATATCGAGACATCACAAGAGAATATTTCTGATATCTTCTTTAAGAAAATATACGCCGACCCTGACGTGAAACATGCAATATCTGATATGCCAAGGCTTTTCCAATCTAAGACAGACCTTGATGAATCTGATTGCAAAACTATTATTCTGCACAACATTCAAAGCTTGCCGGCACATTTTGAGGAGATGCAGGCAGACAGAAGATTTCTAAATGCAGGCGTGATCTGCTTGACCGAAACCTGGTTGCAAGAAAAATCATCTGATCAATTCTCGATGCAAGACTTTGACTTTGTTCATGCAATTCGAAAGGATTCCTATGAAGAATCTTCTGAACTTTTGACAAAGATAAAAAATTCAAGAGGAGGAGGAGTTGGTATGTTTATCCAAAAGGATGAAGAGGCTGGACAGATTGATGATTCTGTTAGAAACATTGAAGTTGTTGGAACTGTTTTGAAGGGAAACATAGCAGTATTTACTGTATATAGGCCTGCTTCTCTTGCCAAAGATCTTTTCTTGTCATCTTTTGTAAAGCTTACAGACAAGATTACACGCAATTACGAAAACATCTTAATTTTGGGGGACTTCAATGAAGATGCATCTGATCAAGGACCAATTCAAGATTTCATGAGAGAACGTGGATTCCAACAATTGGTTACTTTTCCAACCACAGAAGGACGAACAATCATTGACCATGTCACTGCATGAAAAAAATGTCTTTACAAAATAAGTAAAGGTATTGAAAATGCTACATTTACAATGTCTTTAATTACATTTAAGCATATTTACTTAAAAAAGAAAAAGTTGGTAAATGTGATCTTTAATTATATTTACTGCAAAGTAAATTTTTGTAATGGCCCAATTTACTACACCTTTACAAAATAATTAAATGAAATATTTACTCAAGTAAATGCAACTTTACGGAAATTCAAAGGTTGTCTTTGACAACATATTTACAAAAAGTTAAATATTATATTTACTACAGTAAATACATATTTTAAAAACAGTATAGATCGTCTTTGTGGGTGAATTAAATTTAAGTAAAGATCAAATTTAATTATAATTAAAGGTGTATAAATTTAACGCCTTGACTTTATACTACCCATTTCTCATTTTCATTACAATTTTGTTGATCTTTTTCAAAAATTATATTTTTAATGATTAGATTGTGTTCATATCTAGATTCATGAAAGTTCCTCCTGCGATTTGATGTCAATAAATTACAAAAACTGCAAATTAAAAAAATCAGTATTTTTTTTTTATTATAGATGTTGATCAATAATTTGTATTCAATATAAAATCTAAATAAATGTTGATAAGACAAACATTGCATGAATTTTTATGCATTTAAAAAAAGAACATCAAGATATACATGTCTGCATTATTGAATTTTATACAAAAATAAGATATAAGGAATGCTCATGAACACACTTGACATAATCCAAGTATTCAATTAACATTTGAACATACCAAAGCTCTTCATACATTTTGATGAATCTATAATGTAAAAGTTAACTAAACAGATATTATTCAATATTTACAAACAGAAAGAAAAATAAATTTAAGAGTCATTGTTTAGAACCCAGTCATGATCACTGGCTAGTTTTGGGGGATCTTGTTGTCTTATTGAACCCCTGCTTCTCTTTGACAGAAGTCTTTTGCTGCGTGGAGGACAAGTATCTAAATATTTCTTGTCCAGGCTTTCTTTGATTTTTTTAAGTTCTTCACTTTCCCATGAATATGAATGGGACACAAAACCATCATCTCCCTCCTCGTCACTACTCATGAATTTGTAGGCGTTCGGCAACTGGAGGAAAGACTTGACCTTCACCTTTTTCTCCTGGGACCATCCTGTCTTCTTTTCAATGGCGGACACTCTCCTCTTTAATTTCTGTTCAAGAAAATCAAAACTCTCAATTTTAATAAATAAAATGGTTGTATAGAGCACTAAAAAGAAATTCTTTTACCTACTGTATTATTTTATTCTCTCAAGAGACTAATCATAACAATTCTGGATTACGGTGCTTAATTTTCTTTTTTTATCAAGTTTTTAACCTTAAGAAATATTATAACCTTATCAAAACTTGCAATGAACTTTAATTGCCAAGGTGAGCCTTAAAGGGTCATGTATACAGTTTCAACTAAATTTTTTGAACCAATGTTAATATTCACAATTCCTACCTAAGGCATCATTTATTGACTAGCAAAAATTTGAACGTCATTTGTTGATAAGCAAACAAACTACAGAACTTTAAGTTCTTCATAACGTTTAAGGCTTGTGCCTTGTTTTTTGTTTACATATAAAAAGTATCAAATTAAAACAAAAAAATATTCAGCAAATGAATAGTAACTGTCGAATCGTATTTAAAATTAACTTTTATTTGAAAATATCTACTTCGAACAAATATATATTAGTTTATTAACCTGTGTAAACAAAAACATGACACAGACCTTGTTTATGTAACAAAGGCTTGTAGCTCTAAATTTGTCTTGTATCTGGACAACTGACGTTCAAATTTTTGATGATGATTAGAAAGACCATAGTTACATAATTGTAAAAATGGAAAAAAAAAATTGAAATTTTAGCTGAAACTGTGTCCATGCCCCTTTAAACCGTACCCTGGCATGCAGAGGTAAAATTAACTCCTCTTTTCCTGACAAGAATATTACATTCACCTGAGGATTAACTGATGTGTATGAACAACCCTTCATAAAAATCCAAAAAGTTTACCTCTTTTTTTCTTTCATAAGTTGCCTGTCTCTTTTTATGTAAGTCTGTTTTGTTCTTTTTCTGCCTGTTATCTGCTTCCTTTTGCGATGTAAAATATCTTTTTATCGCAGCTGAAAAATAAAACAGCTGATTGTTACATAAAAGCTTCACAGTTAATATTAAATATTGTTCAATGTAATTAAATATGCAGCCTTTGATTTCAATTAACATAAAATTGCATTTAATTTTATTATGAAAAGCTCAAATTTAAAACAAATGAATGAACCTTTAGAATTTGCATTTCCTTTTAAAATGTTTACAGAACTGAGAAGATATTCCACTTTAGATAAATATAAAATGCAATGCATTAGGCCAACTTTTGAAAAATAATTGTTTGCTCTCAGTCCCAACACGGTTTGAAAATATAAAGTTGCTATCCTCCTTTAATTTTGAAAATATGTAGCAATTCTTATTTAGGTACCATTTATAACATCAATGTTTTCATCTGGAGCAATTCCTTGCACACTTTTCCTAATAAAATCTGTCATTTCAAAGTTTTCTTCATCCATAAATCTGCAAAATATTAATATTATATACACATATATTAGTCACACATTTCAAGAGTTAATACGAATTAAAATAGAATAGAAAAAGAAGTAGGCTTCTATGATCGAATGCAAGGAATGGTAATTGTGATTCTATATCAACAGGTATATATACAAAGATACCTTTTATTGCAGTTCCATTTTAAATTTGTCTGTTGGCCATTTAAATATGAGTCCTTCACTGCACTCTAAATAGCAAACAATTATGGTGTATTAATATACATTCCAAGAGTGCAAGGGGTGTAATACAGTATGATCACAATACAAATTGTGCATTGATGAATGATTTACATGTAAATATTTTAATGCCTTTGTTAAAGAATTTTTAACTCCATGTACATGTTAGTGTTTTTTCAAATAATTATGAGATTGGAGGGATAAAAAAAGCCCCCGTTAAAAAAAAGGGATTGTGAACATCATTAATCATGTTAATGTTGAAAAGCACTGTTTAATTTACTGCAGAAATATTTGATTCAGTTTTATTATATTGATACATGTATAACAGAATCTCATTAATTTAAGTTACATATTTTCTCATTTGAAAAACTGTCCATTCTTTTACCAACAGAAAAAAAAAAACATAATAAAATTAAACTTTCACAAAAATTATACATGTAGATGCATGATTACATTCTGTTTTAGAAATTGTTTTGAATCTGTATCACATTAGTATTTGGAAAAATAGCTTGAGATACATATATATATATATATATATTCAGAATTCCTCACCCTAATTCTTGCCGGAACATGTACAGGTTCATTAGTTTCTTGCTTTTTCTTTTCAATCTCTGCTTTAACTTCTCGGACATCTTTCTTTACAATGGCCAATTGTTGAAGAATTTCATTTTGGTTTGCAAGTATCTGAGAAATTTGCGTCTTCATGCCACTGCCTAAATTAAAATTTTGAGGAACATGTACCAACAAAAAATATTTTGCGAATTCTTCAAAGAGTTAATTTTATCATTAAGTATTTGATAATATAAATAAAAAACCCAATTTTTTTCTCGCAAAATATATATTTTTATTGATTAATGATCTGGTTTAAGTAAAAAGTGTATATAAATACTGTTAAATTTTCCTTTGCATAATACATTTATTATCAACACAATTGCCCAAAGCTCTTATCCATTATTAAGTGAAAAGCTATAGTAAAGAATATATGTTTGTGAAACACTGCTCCTCCCCACCCAAGACTCTGATTTGTTTCTAAAATTGCTCAATTGTATCCAAAACAGAACTTAACCTAGATATTCTTGCGATAAAATTTTAATTCAGTACGTACATCCTCTCTGCAAAGAAAATGAATGGACTCTATTGGTGGACTAACAGACAGATAGATCGACAGCAGCAAATCAATGCTCTACTTTCTTTGAGGGGGGGGGGGGGGCATAAATATTTCCACTGGATATAAAAAAGTACTGGTACCATGTAACCAAAATTGCCTTATAGTAAAGCAAAGTTCTTCTATCCAACCCTGCAGTTTTTCTATATAAACATATGAAATTTAAAACCCTCAGAGATTTAATTCAAGTTTCAAAATAAATTTAACTTACTGTTTGATGGTGTTCTCCCTAATGATACACTGGTCGGCTGACTTTGGCTTGCATTACCTGGTGTCTAAACAATAATAAGAATCGAAATATTAAAGTCATGCACCCTTATATGTTTTATAACCTTCAGCAGTAATTTTTGAATAGCTCTATTTAAAAACATCATTATCTCTGTTATTACCATCACTGTTTCCTGAGAAGCAGCAGATCGACTTAGCTGGGCCTTTCTTTGTGGATTATTTTGTTCTGTAGATCTTTTTCTCTAAAACAAATAATTGATAATACATCAACAAATCTACCAACCTGTACAGTTCAATTGTAATATACAGATAAAATTTTAGTCAAGCCATATAATAAATATTGTAAAACACTCCTTACTTCTTGTATATATGTTCTTGATTTAATTTCACACTTAATCTCACCTTTTGAGTCTGGAAAATAGGGAGGTGATCTGAATTATCTGATTCTGATGGGGAAAGTTGTCGCATCAATGAAGTACTCATGCCCTTCACACGCTTTCTAGGAGATCTTCTTAATGCTTTAGTGGTAACCATACTTCTGTTTTTCTGAAAGAAAGAAAAAAAGAATTTATGATGACATGCCAGGGTGAATTTGTCACTTGAAAGAATTTTAAAAGCATTTTAAGGCAAGTATTAAAAAGCTATTTTCTAATTTCTTCAACTGACAGTCTGACAATGATTATATTCTAGTGCTCTCACATTTTTGGGAATGAGTCCATGTCCGCCAAAAGTAGGAAAAATTACGACATTTTGGAAAATTTGAGGATAACCGCTATTCTAGTTTATAAAAATGATCATGATGATAAACTAGGTATCTGATCTT